ATCTGACTCTAAAACCAGTAATTCTCAATGCTTTTACAGTTTCAGTGTAAGATACTCCTACATTAAATAATTTTAAATTATTTAAAATAATGCATGTTATAGGATTAGATTGCAAATAAAAATCATGACTATTATCAAGTTCAGAATGGAATGCAGTAAATATAGAACATTTCATGAAAATTAAAATTCACATTAATGGCTAATAAGCAGGAAGAATTTGTACAAAATAAAGCAAGGACATTGTAGGTAAAGGGGATGCATGTAGTTTGGAGATTCCAAACACTGGGAGAACAGGTTATGAAACAGGAATCTGGAAGGCAAAGATTTAGAGATGAGACCTGAAAGGAAGACTGTGGCTAAACTCACAGTATGCATTTTTGGCCTATCCTGGAGTAGATCAGGGAAAGTTATAGGAAGATCTTACACCAGGGCAGTAATGTGGGCTGTGGGCTAAAAAGCAGGATGGATTGGAGATGGGTCTGGGTTCAGTGGGGTACCAGACATTTCCACAATCCAGGTGTGGGAGAAGTTACGCCTAGCCTCTAGACATACTTTGAGGGTAGAATTGACAGGGATTTGATGACAGGAGTCAAGAGATGGAGAAATCAAAAGTGGGAACTAGAATGACTTGGAGAATTGCTGTTTCATTGACCAAAATACAGAGATGACAAAGTTGTAGTTTATTAACAATTATACCAGACAGCCAGAAGGTGCAAAAGAGGAGCTAGTAAACAAATTTGTTTATTTTACAGTTAAAATCAATTCTTAGAGTATAAAATAGAATTTTTTCTGAACACAAGATTTTGAGGACATACCATTTTTATCCCCCTAAGCATCAGGAAATAGAAACTATAGTACTATATCTATTTCAGAGGCAGAAATTGAACGACTCCAATGGATAAGAAACACCACTCGGATATGGCACTGATTTGTCTAATAAACTAAGGACCCACAACTGCAAAAAGTTCATTTGCCATCCGGATATTTCCTGACCCAAAGAAGTCTCAGTGTCTTTCTGGAATTGCTGAAGAACAAAAGTGCTTTATCTCAAAGATGAATTAATATTATCATAAATGTTTCTGTTATAATCCTCCAACTAGACTTCTTCCCTATAGCCACCCAGATTCTTCAAATGAATATAGACAGAGTAATACACCCATGTAATGATCCTACTATTGAATTTCAGGTAAAGTTTAAACATACCCATAATTACATCAAAGTTGACACAGAAGAAACATTAAGATGTTGTGACTTGAATATACATTCATGCACCATGAGACAGAGGCAGTTTGATGCTCAGTTAGAACATAAGAATCTATCTGCTTTTTTGTTTTCTAAAATTGAATTCTAGACCAAGGCCAGTGGAAAATCAGAGCCTAAGCCAGGGTAAGAATGTTATCTTTTTATTGTTGTTTCAAATAAGGTGGGAAGGGCAGGGGACAGGGGTAGGGGTTGTGAGGTCTGGTTTAGAAGAAAGAGAAGCAAACAAAACAAACAAACAAAAAAACCTAAACACACTCACAGATCTAGAAGTCTAAATAATAAACATTTCATTGCTTTTTGTTGATGTTTAACTGCATCATATAGGAAATTTGGGGAAAACATGTTTTCACATTCTAGTTGAATGTGAGAGTCTGGAAGTGGATGGAAATGGTAATATTTAATTGCGGGGAGGAGGTGTGAGAGGGGTGTGATCAGGAGATTACGCCAGGCAGAGCAAATCACCAGAGGATGGCAGGAAAGGCATCATCAGCCACTCTGGGATGCCCCTCTCTTTTAGTAAGTCATGCCTGCCTTATGATGCCTGTTGTTCATTGTCCTCCAGCCTTAGAATCCATCACATTAGGGGTAGGGACACTTTCATTAAAACAAATAAAGAGAAACATATAACAGAAATCACTGAAACAATTAATTTCCCTGACAGTTAAAAAATATGATCCACGTATGAGGAATATTAGGCCCAAAAGGAGCCAGTTATCCCTTGATGAATTAGACCTGTCTAGAAATTCAAATTGCCCCAAGTACAAGGTCTGCCCAAGCCCATTCATCCATCAGAATTCCCTATGTTTTGAGATACAATCTGAAAAGTTTCCTAGATTCGAACACTGGGAATCACTGGGGCCGCTTTCTCTCATTCTCATTTCAAAGGCAGTGATTGAAGTGCTATCAGTAGTATGGAAATATTAATACAGTCCATAGAAAAGATGGAAAAGTGCAGTCACTTAAGATGAACAACTCAGTTGTGCTGCCATTTTATGAGGTTGTCATGCTTTGAGAAATTGTATGTTCTGACTAAAAATAATTTTTCAAAGTCCAAATTTTAAAAACACCACTAATAGTCTTGTGTTTTAAAAGCTAGAGGTACTGAACTTTTTAAAATTGGTCCTAAATACATACTGCATCATTTTATACTAAACACATAATACATTATTGTACAATTAAATAGTTAGAATAGTGTATACTCCAGATTTTTTACACTGGGCTTTAAGTTAAAGAGCTGGTTTGTCTCATTATGTATCTATTCAATGCACAGACGCTTTTTAAAATAATATAAACTCCCCTATATTAGCCTGTCATAATGATCCCTGTAAATATGTGTTTACTAGCTTTATTGATAACTGTTCTAACTTAAGGACAAATTCAGACAACAAACATGGTGTATGAATACAACAAGTTCATTTCATGAGCAATGATATGGAATATTATAAAGAATAGAAATCATCCCTTGGTTTTCAACAATATTTATTGAGTTCCTCCTAGATGCTAGTACATTTGTTATATGACCCTTAATTTTAAATAACTCAACTATACCCATCTACTTATTTAGTACACTCAAAACTCACATATTACAGTGTGCATTTTACAGAAGAATACGCAGACACCAAGAGGGTGTGTGACCTGCTCAGGATTACCTTGCAACATAAGGTTGGAGCCAGGAATGGAGATATGCAGGTTTCAGCCTAGCTTTACTAATACAAATATACCTCATTGGCAGGTTCAAATGTTCCACATAGTATCTATATTTGTAAATTAACTTAATTCTTAAATTCACTAGGTGGCGTTACTCTTATGAACTCTACAGTGACATCTGTGGTAATATAAATACATAAAATGTGTACTCTGTAAGTAGTCTCCTTACGTTGGAATTTCTAAAAACAGCTACTCTATGTAATGTCTTTCTTTAAATGTTAGATGCAATGGGAGTAAAAGCAAATTAGGTTTTGTATTAAGCCAGGGTAAAGTTGTAACCATGAAGTGGCAGAACTTTTAAGCACTTTTATGTTGTTATTTTTCACAGCATGAAGACTTATCTCATCCAGAAGAGAAATATTCTTTATCCATTATACAGAGGACAGCAGGTATAGTAAAAATATATTAAGTACAATAAAAACCTAGCACTCGAATAATATATTAGTAAATATTCCTTTGTTTTGTAGCAAATCTTTTAAATAGAAAACAACTCCATTATTTTAATTAATGAAAAATAATGATTCCTTTATTTCTAAAATTAAAGGCCCATGAAATTCATGCCCCTCACAAGCACCATATGCTTCAACCATCTCCTCTGAAGTTGTGATAATAGACATATTACAGAAATGACAAAAACTCAAAAAGGAATTTCTTCTGAAAAACACATTTTCAGATCATTTAAAATGAATTAAAGGAAAGAGAAAACTCACAGAAGAATTACTATCCAGTCACTAATAATCTGAACTATTCAGAGTTTAATAGAGTTAATCATCTTTTTAACAAAGAGCCTTTCCATATTTAACAAGTGACCCCGAGGAGGACGTGGACACAAACAGCTGTGCATTACCAGAACTTTATAGAGGTGATGAAAACAAAGAAAAGGAAATCCACAGCAGTGACTAACCACACTGTGCATTCAAAAACAATGACCACACTGAAATTCATTAAGGAGGTAGTCTGTTTACTTAGGTTTGAACAATAGATGGTATGTAACCCCAACTTCTCTAATCCCTCTTTTGTTTAGCTTCAAATAATTCTTTAGTTGCCTATATTATAATATTAATATTATAGTAATGTGACTATTAGTATTAATAATTGATACTTAGAACAAAAAGCAGAGAGCTGAGATTCAAAGACTTAATATTAAGGAAACATTTCTAAATGTGCTGTATATTCTGTATTCTCAAGCATTTTTTTAATATGAAAATAATATATGAGTTTAACAATGGCTAATGATTAGATTCTTTCACAAAGAAAAAATATCACTTACACACAGGACAAAGAGTTATGCAGGAGTTAACCATACTAATGGTGAACATACTGATGTTCTGGCTTCCTTAAACTTATCAACTGCCAAGCAGATGTTTCGTTGTTTCTTTTTTTCCCCAAGTTTTCTCATTTGCCAAGTTTTAACTCAGAATGTATTTGTACAATAAAGTCAGAGTAATTTCATTAGAGAAACTTGGGCACAAAAAAAGCAAGGCAGTGAGATACATATCTTTTCTTCTCTCAACATAAACAAATTACAGCAAACTTTGATTGAACTGCCAGCAAAAACTTTCATTTCACTGACGGGGAAAATTCCCAGCAGCTGCACACAACTGCAAGGCGATCAGACAGATGCCGCCGAGCGGAGGTTGATCCCGACACAAAACTGAGTCCTGTGTTCCCAGAATTGAAAGGAGTTGCTACCCCTCGACAGACTTCCCAGACACTTGACAGCATGCCAGATCAGTGCATCAGCTGTCACTGCCAGCCACGATTTAACTATTCTTGAATAACCAGTAGAAAAACAAACCACCAAAGTGTCAAACTAAAAGTCGTATCTATTGTCTCTGACAAAAGCAGCTTCCTCACTGAACCCTGTGATGTGTCATACCTGTAACTAGAAACTCCATATAGCGTTGCCATGTAGATACTAAGAACTATGCACATATTCGTGCCCAGTAAAGGAATGACAAGGGAACTTTGAAATTCTCAATGGCTGGCCACTGACAATGCTACATGTCAAGAATGGAGCAGTCTCCTACCTGGAGCCCTCTTCGTCTTAGAATGCTGGACTCATCCATCTCACCCTCTGCTTTCTCTGAGCCTCTCACAACAGTCTAGCCATGCTGTACTACCTCTACTTCGGCACGCTAATTCAGAGCCCGGCAGCTGCTAAACACTTACATCACGCTCTAGCTGATTGGAGCCCAGAGTCAGCTGGTCCAGCTTAGTTATTCACTCCAGCAACTTCAGAGATCACGGATGCTTGCAGTTCGGTGGGAGAGAGCAGCAAGTGGGCTCAGACACCTAATGCATTTATCCAGGCAGGGGAGACTCTTGCTATTAGACAGGAAATTGTGAGATCCTTGTTTTCTCTTCTTCAAAATGCTGGCTGTAGTATTCCAGGAGACCACTAAATGGCTTTTGGCAGTAGCTTTGGGTCAAGCCCCATCTGAAGCAACTATAAGGTCACAGTGGCTAAGTAAATCAGCGGTGACAGACACCTCTGTAAAAGACAGCCGCTGATTGGGATGGTGAAAAACTAGGGCACAGCTGGTCAGCCAAGCAGCACCACTATGCCTGGCGCTCATCTCTTCTGAAGGCATCAAAGAAAACAAAAATGTAGCAGAACACACATGCTGCCTGCAAACCCGAAAACGGAGGGCTCAAGGCAGCTGCTCTCCAGCCACCGAACCCTTTACACCTCCCAGCGTGAAAGCCCATTCATTACATAAATACCTGCCAGTCAATTCCTAACCCAAAGACAGAAACAGTTTAGATTTTAATTTCCCTCATGATAATAACTTAGTTCTGCTGATACCTGATCAAAATGTAAAAATGGGGGGTGGGGGAGGATTCTAAGAGCCATCATTAGTTGGAATATTTAACCTATGTATAGTCTATAAGCAGCTAAAAAAAAAAAAAAATTCCCATCATGTGCAATTTCACAGTCTGTTTCAGCTTGTTTACTCCGCTCATCCTCATCTTATTTCAATTGAAAGCAACCAAGAGATGAATATTAAGTTTTCATTACTGGCATGGCACAGGAGTAACAACATACGACACTACCAATTTACAATAAATTATTCCTCCTTGGTGTCTATTCTAAAGATATGTAAATTGAGAGAATAGTTTGATCCTGAGAGAGATACAAGGACTAACTGTACTTTGTCTAAGAACTACCTCTTTCACTGTATCCATCAGAATAATTATTTTTCTTGAAAGTTAGGAAGACAGGTATAAACATTTTTTTAAATCACTAACTCCTGGATTTTACTTAACCCAGTTATCTAGTGATGTTTAAATGTGGGAGAGGGGAAGGAAGTGTCTAGCGGTTCCCTACCCATTCACCTGCTATTCCACTCGTTTTCCATCTCTTTCTGTCTGTCAACACACTATTAGGCTTGCTATGAATTGATTAGATTATGTCATTAAAAATAGCTCAGGGATTTATGAATCTAACCACTGAGGAAAATTAATTGCATTTTATGTTCCCAAAAGGTCTTTGCGTACATCTCCAGACATACAAAGAGAAGCCTGTCAAGAAATGCCACACCTAGCAGAGAAAGGTGTCAGGGTATTTTTCCACTTAGGCATGTTCATTTCATACCACTTAAGGAAGAAAGCCCCAGAGAGATTTTAGCTCTTGCTTATATGTGGAGGAGAAATATCATCTCTAATGCAAAACACAGCACAAAAACTAGTCGTTCTTCAAGTCAAAGTGTATCAACAAATTCTAGCACAAATGAATTTTTTAAAAAGATTTTTAAAACTATGTTTTTTGTTTAAATCAGAGGACAAAATAAACAAAAACCACCTAAGAGAGGGAGAAAGGGACAGCCTTGTTATATCTTTTGGCAATCTGTAATGCTGGTGGAAAACAGACCCCAACCTTCACAGGCTCACCTGCACTTGAATCTGTTCCTGCAAAGAAAAAATCTGGCTCTTCAGTGAAAACAAAGGGAATGATAGTTGTTGCCTGCTTTCTCCCTCAAGTCACCCTCCTGAGAGAGGAGCACAAAAAGTTCCCTGAATGTCAAGAGTTGTTTTAGACAAAGCCTTGGCAGCAGCTCCAAATATATTTACCAACTTACAGTGTCACTGCTATCTGCCCACAGACGCAAAAGGAAGTCCTGACTGATTTTGGAAAATATCTTGACCCAAGAAGCTCAATTTTTATAAGCAAAAGTCAAGCATGGTGTACACACATACACTTCTACTCTGAGGACCACCATCTTCATTGTGCTGGTCCTTCTAGAAAAACCGGGGTCTAGAGAAGGACACCAAGTTCCCATTACAGAGAAAGAGATGGGGGATGGAGGGGTCATGGGGGGACAAACCAATTTCCCCCTTGTAACACAAATTAGGTCATCAGGAGAACAAAACAAAACAGGTAGAGAGAGAGCCCAGAAGTATCTTTTCTGTGACCAATCGCGTAAGCTTGTTGGAAGCACTATCAGAAGACATTTCGAGGACACACTGTCAAAATGTCAGCTGACGTGCGTGCATCTTAGGCACTCTGCAGCTCGAGGTGTTTGGGAGGTGGTGGGAGTGACAAACGGGAATCTGGCTAAGGACGAAAAGTATGTTTCTTAACAAAGGAATATTCTGAGATAAAATCTAAGTGAGTGTTCCACCATTAACTAAGTCTAAAATGAGGATTATGACCATCATACCATCAAATCTAGTATGAAAAAATATCGATTACCTGTCAAAATGTATCATTTTGAGAAGTGATACACATACATTTTAAAGAAATAAAACCAGCCAGAGGCAAAAACATTTGGGACAAAAATGAAAGGCTGCTGAAAAATAACATCAAGCAATAATGGCTTAGCGGAGGGAATAGTAAAAGGAAAATTGCTACATTTACCCTTTGCTATATATTTTCTCATCAAGATAAGCCATGTGTTAAAATGCAATAAAAACTTCAAATGATGACACTATTCACAGGTAATAATTAGGATCTAGCCTAATTTCCATTAATAAACTCATTTTTCCTGCAATTTTATACCTTCATGGAATATGTTCACAATATTGTAAGTCAATTCACAAAGTACCAGCCTCAATATGTATTGCTTTTACATGTGTATTCAAATCATAAAATCTGGTAGGCTTTGTCATTAATTGTAATCTAAAGCCAGGGCTTTGTAGTATTTCATTAAAATAAAGTTATTTGTATGGATACACCACATGCCCACTCTATTATAGGCATAATTTACTTCCCGGAATACTCAAAATCCATGGTCACTGTCATAAAGGTCAAATTTAAATTTTAAGAATTATTGCAATTAAATGGTTTACAGAAACAATAACAACTCCAAATACCAACTGAGAAAAACCAGTGGGAAAGAAAACGTCTGGTTGAACATATTTCAAAAAAGCGTACATTGAGATTTTGTAATATTGTCCACAGTGATGTTTGGTACAAGGATATGGGTTTGTCCTCTGATTTACATGGCCAGATATCTTTCATGTGCAGTCATGTGCTACATACTGACATTTCAGCCAATGATGGGCCACATATATGATGGTGGTCCCATAAGATTATAATAGGGCTGAAAAAATCCTATTGCCTAATGACATCTTGATGATCCTGACTCTGTGTAGGACTAGGCCAGTGTGTGTGTTTGTGTGTTTGTGTGTGTGTGTGTGTGTCTTAATTTTTAACAAAAAAGTTTGCAAAGTTAAAAAATACATTTTTAAACAGAAAAGAAGCTTAAAGAATAAGAATATAAAGACAGAAAAATATTTTGGTACAGCCACATAATGTGTGTTTTAAGCTAAGTGATATTGCAAAATAATTCAAAAGTTTTTAATATTAAAAAGTTTATAAAGTAAAAAGGTTACAGTAAGCTAAGGATAATTTATTATTGAATAAAGAAAAATATCATTTATAAATTCAGTGTAGCCTAAGTGTACCTTATTTGTAAAGTCTACAGTAGTACACTGCAATGTATGAGGCCTTCACATTCACTCACCACTCACTCATTGACTCACCCACAGCAACTTCCAATCCTGCAAGCTCCATTCGTAAGTGCCCTATACAGATATGAAATATCTTTTATATTGTATTTTTAAGGTACATTTTCTATGTTTAGATATACAAATACTTGCCATTGTATTGCAACTGACTACGTATTCAGTACGATAACATGCTGTATAGGTTTGTAGACTAGGAGCAATAGGCTATACCATCTAGGTTTGTATAAGTACACTCAGTGATGTTCACACAACAATGAAATCACCTAGCAACACACTTCTCAGAACATGTCCCTGTTAAGTGACACATGTCTGTACTTAGAAATAAGTTATCTCTCTTCACTAGTTCTGTGTTGGTTACCCCAAAGTAAACAAATCTTCTGATGTTACCCATTCTTTAGCAACTGAAATGTTCATCGAGGAAGTACTGTGAGGAACAGTGGAGGAGTTTCCACTCCACTCCACTCCACTGGCCTAATCCAGCCCCATCTGGCAGCTCTCACTGAACTGCCTACCCAAAAGTCATGGGAGCTGAAGTTGGAGGGCAATGGAGAGGATCGTCCTCTGCTAAAGATGTTGTTTCTCCCACCACACTAGCCAGACGGAAGAGTGACAGAGGAGTGATAGAGAGGAGTACCACTGTGTTGCCCTGTCCCTCATCCCACCAGTCAGAGTTCTGGGTGTGCTAGGAATGTGATTTCCAATACCATCACTACAGTTTGGGGTGGGATCTCTCCTGAACACCATCTTGCGTTAAGTGTGACCATGATCACTACTTCTCAACAAGGCAGACAGCCATAAAATAGATATCCCATTGGTTACTTGTAGACAACAGACCAAGGGTTCATATGTCTTTCTATATGTTCATTCAGAGGTAAGTCAATATGGCCAAGTGGATGAATATCTCCATTCATTCACTGATTACTTCTTTCCATTCATAGATAACTGCCAGTGGCCAATGAATATGTTGTATTAGATCATAAAAGATTACAAAGGAGAAACAGATGATTCATGAAAATACATACATCCATTATTGTGATTATAATATCTTGAATGACAAAGAGCAACACAGCTGTGAGATTAGTGTCTACATTTAAATTCCTTCTTAATTTTTGTACTTTACTTTCCCTAATGTCTCACTTCTAAATATTAATAACAATGGCCAGCCGGGTGCCATGGTTCATGCCTGTAATCCCAACACTTTGAGAGGCCAAGGCAGGTGGATCACCTGAGGTCAGGAGTTCGAGACCAGCCTAGCCAACATGGTGAAACCCCATCTCTACTAAAACTATAAAAATTAGCAGGGTGTAGTGGCACACACCTGTAATCCCAGTTACTCAGGGGGCTGAAGCATGAGAATCTCTTGAACCCAGGGGGTGGAGGTTGCAGTGAGCCGAGATTGCACCACTGTACTCCTGCCTGGGTAACAGAGCAAGACTCCATCTAAAAAAAAAAAAAAAAAAAAAAAAATGGCCAACATTTGTTGATCACATTACGTGCCAGTCATTGCTATAAGTGCTTTATATGTATCATCTCATCAAACCCTCACAACATGAGTAAGGAGCCATTATAATTCCCATTTCACAGGTGAAGAATCAACACTCAGAGAAGTTAAATAATTTCCTTCGATTCCACAGCCAAGCCAAGGTAGGGGTGGTGTATTAGTCCATTTTCATACTACCTAAAAAAACTGCATGAGACTGGGAAATTTATAAAGGAAAGAGGTTTAACTGACTCACAGTTCAGCATGGCTGGGGAGGCCTCAGGAAACTTACAATCACAGCAGAAGGTGAAGGGGAAGCAAGCCACCTTCTTCACGACATGGCAGGAAGGAGAAGTGTCAAGTGAAGAGGGGGAGAGTCCCTTATAAAACCATCAGATCTCATGAGAACAGCATGGGGGAAACGGACCCCATGATCCAGTTACCTCTATCTGGTCTCTCCCTTGACACATGGGGATTATGAAGATTATAATTCAAGATGAGATTTGGGTGGGGACACAAAGCCAAACCATATCAGCTGGGATAGGATACCAACCTTGACCAGGTTGACTCCAGAGTTTGAGCTCCTAACACCATGCTCTACTGCCTCTTGGAGTTTAAACAAAGAAGGAAACAGTGATTTCAAAGTGAATTAATAATGTGAAAGGTGTCAGATGCTTTAGCTCCTGAGAAAAAATGAGCACATCATAAGTTGTCAATGGTCAGAGCACACCAGAAAGAGCATTCCAATCCCCAATTCTCTGAGCCATGTGCCTATAAAAGAGACAAGCAGCAGGGCCCCCAGCTACTTTAGAGGGGAAATTAGAGATATCCCCCTGGGCAGGAGGGGTGGAGGAAGAGGGCTGGTCAGAAACAGGCTTCTTTCTACTTTCCTCCTGAATGTCTCTGGGCCCCCACTCTGAGCTTGAACAACTCTTCATCCTTCTGACTTCAAAATTATACAGTCCTAAATATAACACATTTATTTACAATCAAGTGTATTCCACAAAACCAAGAACACTCTTCCCATTGCCATGCCAGGCATAACACACATCCCTGCTAACTTGCAGGGGTTCTGACAGCTCTTCATTTTCTAGTCTGATGGTTTTTCTGGAATTTACCACGGAAGGCAACTCCTTAATTCTCTTTCCTTTTAGGTGAAATGACTCAGGGCAAGGCCGCTCACTCTGTTCTGAGCAGTGCTGGGAAGAAAGGAGGAAAAACCCCAACTCTGACATCTGCCTTGATTTCCTGGAAGCCATGCCTCCCCAGTGTACTTATAAATGCCAGGTGCTGAGAGCCAGTCCCTGTGCAGGCTTTGCCAAAGAGAAACCTGGTAGGCTGGGCAAGTCCCTGAACTTCCTTGAGCTTTGGTTTCTCATTTGTAAAATGAAAATATTATGGGCTTATCATCAGGAAGCTGGGGAAGTGAAGAAGAGGCAACCTTCTGGGAAATTGAGAAACTGGTTTCACCGCCCTCAAGGTAAAAAGGCAGCCCATGCCCCTCACTGTGGACACCTGGTCCCTCCCTACTGAACCCACAGTCCTGTCTCCTAACCCTCTATCCTCCTCCAGGCCATTACTGTCTCACCAAGCGTCTGCTTCACACAGCTGCTCAGCTACCTTCCTGGCTTCAAGGATCCTGCTCTGAACATGCTCAAGGCTGAGGAGGGCACCGAGGTTTCCCATCAGCCCCTCCTCAACACCAGTCTCCCAAGTCAGACAGCAGAGTTCAGAAACCAGTGATGAGCTGAGCCTCACATGCCTAAAACACACACTACAGCATTAATGTTCACACTGAGAACAGGTTAAATCCTCAGCTAAGGTTGACATGAATCTTTATTACCATATAAAATTAATGCCATAACATTACAATATTACTGCCTGCTGTTATTAATGGCTAATCTTTAGGAATATTTACTATTCATTAAAGTAACATACAAATGAACCAGATATTAATTACCGTGTCATCAAAACTCAAAAGTAAAATGACACCTGGAAACAGGTTCCACACTATTTAAAGTGCCAGGTAATATTACACTCAGGAACAAATACCAAAGCCGCAAATTTTCTCTCCCTATATTTTAAAATAGTCATTTGAAATTTTAAATAAAGTTCTAATCTCTAAAGTTAACAAAGGTAAAGACACAGCAGACACGTACTGTATATGTCTTTTTCTCACCAAATAAAACAGACTTTAAACCTGTCAGAAAGACTAAAACAAAGGGCAGTCTGCCTTCCAGGGAAAGAAGGAATTTTTTCCACTGCAAAGAAAAGAGAGTGTGTCACACCTTCCCACTGATAATACAACAAAGTCTGAATTTTTCCAAAGAGGAGCATTTTCTAAAACACGTTTCATTTAGCAAAAATTGCAGGTGGGGTCAGTAGTGAGCATATGCCTATGAAATAAGCCACATCCCACGTTGCCTGCGTTCAGCTCTGTTTTCCTTCCCACCTGCAATCCTGAAGGCTTCTTAAATGTATGCAATTGGTGATTTCTACAAGGTAACATGCATGATTTTGCTTAAGTCTTTTCACAAGAAAGCTATATTGCCTTGACGTTTGCATCATCTTTTTTTATCTAATTATTTCTGGCATATTAGCCATCAAATCACTACTGACAATATGACAGGAATCATGGTATTGAAAAAATTACATCCTAGGAGGAAATAATAAAATATAAATCACATACATAATTTTCTTTTGAACACTTTAACAATGACACCTCATATACATATGAAATATAGCAGACTATCCTCATAAATGCCCTAACATCAATCACAGCAGGAAAATATTCTCTACTTTGCAAACACACGAATCCAACAAAATATAGCATTTCTAATAAAACTGGGTAATAGAACTTCATTTTTTTTCATACGAGAGTGTTTATGAAGATCTGATGATTGGAAATAGCTCCAATATATATTTTTTCAATTATGTCCCTTCCTGTCTAAATGATGCACAGCTAACACTGGGACCATGAACTAATATTTAGCAAAGTCCCATATGTCATATTAATATACAGATTAAGAAGGAACTAGATGAGTGAAGTGATGTTGGCAGTATTGCCATTGTATGATATCTATCCATTGCACAAGCTTTAGAAACTCATATGTTAACATGTATATTCACTGAAGATAATACTACCGGCATCATCTAAGTATTTTATGAGCTTCTGAAACAGAGATTCCTACAATTATCCCTAAAGTGAAAAGATGTACCTAGAGAT